GGATTGAGAGATGTTTAAGTTTGATGTATTTATGGCGATTTTGAATTGTAAGCTGAGAAGAAGGTTTAGAGCTTCTAGGAGCCTTTGACTGGTTATTCTTTGTTACTCTTTTCCTTTTACTTTAGTTGTGGAAGGATTGAATTCTTATGTCTCACTCTCTCTTTCTTTTAAGACTCAGCCGCCACAATGTTTTGTTTTCTTTCCAAGTATTATCTAATTGGGTATTTATATAAGCAAAGATATGTAGGGTAGATCGATTCCCACCGCCTTAAGATTATAACTTCTTTATAATAACACTTAACTCCTTTTTATTTTGCTAAATTACCTTTTGGTCATTGATGAAATTACACTTTGATGTCACAATCATCTATGGTTAGCCTAAAATCTCCTCGATGACATCTATAATTGACATTCCATCCATATTAATGTCACACCCCAACCCGGTAGGGTCCTGTTGCCCTTCCCAAGGATGGGGTGGATCAATTGTACTTTTTATTAGCCCTGTCATTAAGTAGTAAATAGTAAAGTTGTTAAATCATACCTTGTTCAAGGATAACCAACACACACCTTTATACATACCCTTACGGGAAAACCCTTAATATAATTTACACATCATATGAACAAAATCTCTTTCTCTTTATTGGAGATCACTGGTACAGGCAACCCAGTGTTCACTTAGGAACCTTGTCTTCATCGCATTGGTCTTTCACACGACTCTAGACTGTATAGTGGATCAACCAGAATCATGAACACCTATACACCAAAACCAGCTGTGGGGGTGTAAGCTTTTCAACAGGCTTAGTGAGCATACTAGCATCATGTTTTGAGCAATAAACAGTCCCCACCTCTCCTTTGATAAAAATAGATAACGAAATATAGGAGATAAGTTGCTATTAAAAGATATTTTCTGTCAAAGTACACCTCCCTCAATTCTCAGTTCAATCCATTGATATCGAATGAGTTGAGGGCCATTCATTATCCCCAATGGTAGAGATACATTAACCTGCCTCCCAATTTTACTCAGAAAGACAGGTAATCACCTCACCAAATTCACCCGTATAGCATGGCTGATGTGAATGATAAAACTGCACCATTTTAAACAATCACTTTTGAAAATAATCACGATCCATACTACAATTCACCATTTTTCAAGCGCCATTCAAGGAAATCCACCAACTAACAACAATTATACTCATAAACCGTTTATATACTAGTAATTTAGTTTTCAAATTATATAACATAGTATACTCACCTTTAACACCCCACATCAACTCATTTCTCTACACCGGGTTTACTACTAGCGACGCAAGTTGATGCAGTCCTCTCTGCACCTAAGACAACATATCTCATGACACTACAAAATATCACCTTCAAACATAGTGAGTTAGATGCATGTATGCATGTTTTGATCCTTATATTCAATCTTTTTAAACATTTAGTCAATTAATTCCACTACCTAGAGCTTCAATCTAATTAAAAGAAACATTACTGAGTAGCTATGCCTTTACACTTTACGCAAACAAACTAGTACTAGATTAAGTCAATAGAACATGTTTAACTAATATGAATTGCTATGACACTTCATTACCAAAACTAACAAGAAAACCATACCTACTAGTTGTTTACCCAGAACCCACTTCCCTCCTTTCTTGCCTTTTTCTTGCTTGTTGTTTTGTTTTTTTTTTTTATTAATTCCCTTACCCTAACTGTAAATATTTCCCTCCATTAGCTAGCCCTTCACCATGCAAATGAGCTATTTATAGACAAGTCCCACACTTGCCACCTAGCTAGTCTCCTAGGACACCAAACACCCTTGCACACTTGACACCCAGCTGGTTAGACACCAAGCATCCTTGCATGCTTGATACCTAACGAGACACCAACCACCCTTGCATGCTTGACTCCTTGTGAGACACCAAGCACCCTTCCCCCTCTCGACACCTAACCACGACAAGGATTCACCATTTTAGGACACCTAACATACTTCTTGTCTTGACACCTCCCTCCGATAACACCTAAATTAATTCCCACCCCTAAAACAAATTCATACAAACCCCATAACATTTAAATGCATCTACTTTACATGCTTTGGGTTTCACAATTAAGGCCAAAAATCACTCTAATATGATTTTCTCACAATTTTCCTCTAGTCTTTTATTTATTTATTTAAATTAGTAACCCTTCCATTACCCAATTAACCCATAAATTTTTGACAGTAAGTGAGCCCACTATGAGTTAATAAAATTACATTGTGACCCCTAGTTTGATTACCGTTCCAGTGTAATTGACTAAAAGAAAAGTTGTTACTTCCATAATTCACAAAAATAAAGGCTAAATCTCTTATTCTTCAAGCCTAAAACCTCTCTTTTTTCACATTTTATCTCGATCTCTCACCCACTTTCTCTTGCCATGATTATAACTGAAGTATAAAAACTGTACTGTAAATGTTTATTTACTTGAGATATAAAAAGGTAACCAATAATTTCTAGTCTGTTTCATTGCACCAAGCTTTATTTCCTTTTGATTTAAACAATAACGGTCAATTTGGAGTACAACATAATTTACTGTTTCATTCAATGGTGACACCCTATTTCCCTACCTAGTCATACAATAATTTCTCCGGTAAATAAGGTAGCTAAAATTTATTTTATTTGCTCTATTATTTGGTTTGGGGTATTATATTTAAGTAATAATCACACAGACTCCCCCAAAAAGGCTAGTCAAGATGTTGTCATTTGGGGTCATTGTTCTTGCATATATACTCAAGATCCCCCTTGTAAACTTCCGATGTGGGATTTAGCACACACGCCAATGCGACTCGTCAAAATCTCCTCTTCTTTATTACCTCACGTCCCCACAAGAGACCCACAATCAATCAATCGATCGAGCCTGACCCTGAATTGTAGTGCCCCTTAACCCACACGGTTGTGTGTACGGATCAACCCCTATACCATATGTAAAAATCACAGGAACTCTCCTAAAATGACTAGCCAAGAAGGTGTCATTTGGGATTATTGTTCCTACATGTATACTCAAGATCCAGCGTGTAAACTTTCAATATAGAATTCAACAGATGCCAATGGGGGTTGTCATATTACCAAAATAAGATTGCAAGACTTGGTGAGTTATTAAGGTGTTTTGTTGTTTTGTGGCCTTGAAATATTTGGAGCTCCTTGTCGGAGATAATTTTTGGCGTTTAGATTGTGGGATCCGATAGCAAAGGAATAAGGAAAAGGTTGATGGGTGGAAGGGAGCTTACCTTCCAAAAGGAGGGGACTCATTTTCGTTGGATAGCTTTCCTATTCATTATGTGTCTGTTTAAAATGCCATGTAAGGTGGCATGCAATATTGAGAGATGAGAGATTTTCTTTGGTAAAGAAGTGGGGAAGGAATGTGAGATCATTTTTTAAGTTGGGATTTGTTTTCTTGGTCTAGGGATAAGATTGGTTCGGTTGTGGGCAATTTGAATGCTAGAAATGTAGCCCTTATTAGAAAATGGTGACGAAAATTTCTTTTGAAAAAAAATTCACTTCGGTGTTTTGTCATCAAAAAACAAAAATGTTGTGCAGGGTAATTGATGGGATTCTAATGTGGTTGAATGAGGGTTTTTTCGATGTCCATGGAAGCTCATTACTTAGATTTATTTATGTTTCTTAAAGTACAAAATTGAGTAGGAAATGGAAGCACGTTTGTATTTTGGAGGTTGTGTGGACTGGGATTCTTCACTTTCATCAGGTTTTTCTCGTATTTGTCAGTTGTCTCAAGTTTACAATGTTTCAATTGCTACTTCGGCTTTGTCTTTTTATGCTCCAGTCACTAGAAATTTCTATTTCTATAGGAAATTTGATGAGTAGGAATTTCATGAGTTTTGTTCCTTACTTGAGTTGCTTGATGGAATTTCTGTAATCATGTATCACCTGATAGAGGAAACATTGGGCTATTGACTCGTAAGTGTTATTCTCTTGTTTTTTTTTTTTTTTTTGGAGTTAGTGGTTAATAATCATTCAATTCTAGTTTTGTCTCTATCTTTGCTGATATGGAAGGCTTAGGTGCCTATCAAAGTTCAAATGTGTGCATTGACAATTGCTCAGGTTAGAATTAATACTGATTTGAATTAGAGACTTACACCTTATGGTTACTTGCTACCATAGTGGTGTTTTATGTGTTTCAAAGGAAGGATGAGAATATTGATAACCCTATCCTTCCTTGTCTGGTTGTTTTGGGATTGTGGTGGAATTTATTCCTATTAGCAGGTTAAGTTGGGTAATTCTTACACATGGTGTTGCTTTATTTGAGGAAGAAGTTTGGCTTTTGGAAAAGATAAAAAAAGCTTTTGTCCTTTGGAAATGTGCAATCTTAACTGTATTCTGGGTGATTTTCAATAGATAGAAATGCAAGAATATTTGAGGTAGGAGTAAGCATAATGATGAAGGATCAATATTTCGTTTTGGTGCCTAGTTTCAGTTAGCGCAGAAACAGAAATGTTCTGGATGTTCTAAATCAGGAAAAATTTGAATATTTGTTTCTGAAATATTTTGAAACATTGGTTGAAACACCTTGAAACATCTGAATTTCAATATTCAATTATAAATTTGTTTTGGTTTCCATAGAAATTGAAACGTTTCATTTGTTTGTTAGGAACGAACGAGATTTTGAACATTGATGATGATTGCTTACGAGATAAAATTCATTCTTTTGAAATCTTTGTAGGTTTTCAAATGACACAGGAGTTTAATGATTTCCCTCTTTTTTTTGTATAAGTCTGATTGGAAATTATTTTGTGAATGGTAGTACTGTGCTGGTGGAAGTTAGACTTTTGATTTACATTTTTCTGTAGATTGATGTTTGGATTCTTGGTGGAATGTTTTGTTCTCCAATGTATCACTGATTTGTACTCTTTATTTCTTTTCTATGAGTGAAATTCATTACTTATCAAACAAGGGAAAAAATATAACACTGATTCTCTGGTATTTTTGCTGTAATAGAGAACACTGTCCAATATGAGGAGCCCCACTTTTATAGGTGAAGTGACATGTACTGGCATAGATCCTGGAAATCTCCCTCCATACATCAGTGGTATGAGGGTTCTTCCATCAGACATGAATGAGGTATGGATGTTAGAAATTGACATCGAGTATTCTGGTGGTGCGGTATTAGATATTGAATCGAGGCTTGAAGTTCGTGATCTAGACTTCCAGGAAGGCCTAGTGGATGCAAATTTAGATCCAAGCTCTATGGAGGAGGTAAAGGCAGATCTTCTAGAAGGTTTTGAGTCCTTTGGAGAACAGTTGAAGCTCTCTGAACGGACAGTTGTTGAAGTAGAGCAAAAGGAGGAAGCAGATTCTAACCATGGTAGATGTATAACCTATTTGTTTCAATTCTACGTGATTTTTCATACATAAGACCTATTTATTTTGAAACTGCTGTGAATAACATAACCTTCATATTTGGATTTCTTTAGATTGTAACAGTAGTTGTCCAGATCTTTTTTACGAAGAAATTAGTGGACCTTGAGGATTGCGTCCCTGGAGTAGAAAATAATTCTATGGGTACATGTCTTTGTTCAAACAACACACGAACACACGTAAAACACAGTGTACACTACACCACAGGGGTAAATTCTTTGCATTTCTTGGGGAAAATGCTATGCGGGACTCGATACTGTTTTAAGGAACTGATTTGTTTGCATTCTTCTCACTTGATTGCTATGCATTTATATCTCACCATGGTCGACAATTATAGAACCAATATAATCAGGATGACTGAATTTTGACATGTGTAGCCGTCATGCATTTATAGATTGGCCAACATCAAGAGCGGATGGTCTTGGTCATTCAACTAATTATTTCGCTAAATAGGTTTATGTGCCATGTGATTTCTTTTCAAATAGATTTGTGAACCTATTTCCTTTGGGAGCTGGCTCATGAGAAACAAAGAATTCCCTTAGGCATGAAAATAACCCTTCTTGGAACGAAAAAATTATATGCACTAATTTGTGTTAGTGTTCCTGCATTTGATTTTGAAATCCTAGTTTAAGATATTATTCCACTATCATAACTACTATGTGTTAAATTGTACCTCAACTCAACAAAACCATTATCCCAGTTATTTGGGGTTGGCAACATGAATACTATTTATTCATTGTACTCTATCGAGGCCATATTTTCCGTTTGTACCATAGTTTATCAGATATTTGTTTTACTACCTCGTGCAAAGTGAATTCCTGCATACCGACTACACCTCTGGCATTGCCATCCATAGGTATCAATCTACTCTTCATCACAGGTGCATGTCTTCTATAAATATGTCTAAATCACTCAAGTCAATTTTCTCTTAATTTATATTCTATTGGTGCTACGTATATGGTTTAACGAATGTACTCATTTCTAGTTCTATTTTTGTTGTTTATACGATACATCCATCTTAACATCCTCAATTCTACACCACTTAATTTTTTAATGTGTTGATTCTTAATTGCACAACTTTCTATACCATAAAGCCTTGCTAAACTAATGGTTATTTTGTGAAACTCATCTTTCAACCTAGGAGGTATATATTTGTCACATAATATGTAGATGCGAAGATCATAACTACTCTATAAAAAAGGTAATAAGAACTATGGTCTCATCAGATGACAATTTGAATTTATGCCAGCTTTGTGGCCAGCGGTTCAACTTGCGTGCTTGAGAACCTTTTTTTTGATAAGCAAAGAAAACATTACAAGAAACCATATCAAGTGTGAACAAGATGTCCAACACAAGACATGTCAAAAAAAACAAAAATGAAAAATCAAGACTACAATCCACATGATGCCTTCCAACTAGCTCTAATGCAAAAAAGAGGGATCTCTTGAAACTCCTTTGACAATGAGGCCCAAAAAGAGGCCAAAAAATAAAGTATTTCCCAAAGAAATTCAAACTCTTCACATTTATCTTCAAAAATCCTCAAATTTTGTTCGTTCCAATTTACTCATATTGTAACAAAGAATGCGCTACGCCAAATGATCTTCCATTTTTGTTTCCCCCCACACCCCACATTATCCCAACAAAACATAGATTCCATCTTCCTTGGAGCAACCCAAGCATACCCTACAAGGTCAAAAAACTTGTTCCATAAAGTTCGTGCCAAAGGACAATGTAAAAATAAGTGATCCACACTTTCATTATCACCTCTATACATAACACACCATTGTGGTTGGAGATAATAATTAGGTCTCCTCTTTTTTATGACTTCATTAGTACTTATCTTACCATGAGAAATAATCCATGCACAAACTTGCATGCATGAGAAGCTTTTTAAGTCATACAATAGTAACTTTGATGGTGCAATATTATATGGCATGGTTGGACTTGGCCTACCCTCCACCTAGGCCGGAGAACCACCTCAAGAGGACTAATTACACTGTTAAATTTCCATTTTTCTACTACATAAGGGAGCTCTTTGTGACATGAGAAGGAGGTGAATCTTTGTGGTTGAAGGTCGTAGACCTTTATGATGGTATCGTATGTGCTCTTTTTAGGTGGTTTGGTTGTGTCTATTAGAGTATTTTAATATTAGGACTAGTTTAGTTATTTTTTGGTATTGTTTGCCAAACTATAAAGGGTTTCTATTATGTATCTTTTATTATTAATCTGTTACTAGACTAATGTAGCCCTAATAATATTCTCTTTGTTTTCATTTTCTTTATTTTTATCAAAGTTTGCATAGTATCAGAGTATGTTTCAATCCCTGAACACAGTTAGCAACATAGTAAAACTGAGCAAAAGACTTCTATGGTCAAATAGGGCTCGTCGTCTTACAGACCACTATCCTGTTCGATTCTTCATGGGCTTCACCATGGTCTGCCTTGTTTTTGAATTCGTGTTCATCAAGTAATTTTTAGATTTTTCAAGAAATTGTGTCAAAAAATTTCAATTTGGAAAATTTGTGAATTTTCTTCAAATATGATGTTCAAGATTCCGCCTTAGAGGTGCGACTAGGTGCCTTTGATAATTGACTGAGTGTTTTGAGTAAGGATCAAAATGTCGTGTCGACACGTCCGAAACGTTTCAAAATTTCAACACTCCGAAACAAAATAGTAGTTGAATCACAAAATTTTAGTGTTTCGGTCAAAACGGCACTGTTTCGGACCGTTTCGACGAAACAGTGATATATTCGGTTCACTATGAATAATTATATTTAATACCTCACTATAATTACATTTAATACCCACTGTAATTATATTTAATACCCCACTATAATTACATTAATACCTTTTATAATTTTTTTGTTATAAGAATAAATAATTATACTTAATACCCTACTGTAATTATATTTAATACCCATTGTAATTATATTTAATACCTACTGTAATTATATTTAACACCCCATTGCTGTGCAAGTCTTTTACTTTTTTTTTTTGTTATAAGTATTAACAATTATATTTAATACCTACTGTAATTACATTTAATACCCACTGCAATTACATTTAATTTTTAAGTATACATACGTACTATTAATTTAATTTGATACCCTTCATTATTAGTATTATAATAAAATAGTATTATTAATTGGATAATATTACCGTAATAATATGAGTTGGAGTAACTATTGTCATCATATTTATGTCACATATGAAGTTTCTCTAAATAGCTACCTAGAGCCTACACTGATGTATGAGCCTGCTCGACACTCCACAGGGGGATGAATGTAGCCATATAAGTATGTACTCATTAGCATTTCATGTGTATTATAAGACCTTAATATTATGTAAAAATATGTTTATTTCATAAAAATTAAGTGTTTGAAACTAATTTAAATGATTTTCGCCTCATGTCAAGCCTTTTTTTCCCTCAAATGTAAATTTATTCTTGTATAAATAGATGTTAACCCAATAAATATGTTAAATTAATCAATTATTTAGCTTATCTTTATAAATTAATGGATTGTATTTGTGTTTCTATGCGTTTCCATATTTTTTCTGCGTTTCCGAAACGTTTCCATTTTTGAGCTAACCAAAACGGTACTTCGAAACGAAATTTTGATCCTTGGTTTTGAGGCACTTGGAGTGGATTTGGGTTGAGATTTGGTAGATCTAAGGCTCGACTACACTGTACAATTGCTGGACAGTGTTTTGGATATCTGTTGCTTGATTTGTACAGCATAACACTGTAATCTGCTTCTTTGTTGTTCGATTGGGTCCTGGCTTCTCAGATTGGAACTGATTTTGTGTTGGATTCTCTGATTTACACTGTTCTATTCACTTAATTTATTGAGCTCTTAGATTTGCATTATTTTTGTTTGACTGTGCTCCATTTGATGTTTTTGTTCATACTGTGGACTTGGTTCTTTGGTGTGCTGCATGTATTCTTGGTTAGACTCCTTGTTGTGACAATGATAAAAATGGGAAATCGGACTCTCCTCCGGCAATCAATGTGAAATTAATTGGTGATACCTAGCCCTATTGGGCATATGTTATGAAAAATCTTTTGTTGGAAAAAAACTGTGGAGCTAGGTCACTGGAACTATAAAAGCCCCAACATATACCAAGGTGGGAAATCTTGCAGAATCGGTGAATAATTGGGACATTAGTACTACCAAAATTTTGACCTGGATTAACAACTCATATCGTTGGTGTTCATCTAATTAAGTTTACTACGACCAAAGCAATTTGGGAGTATTTGGTCACATTGTTTGGTTAGTTCAATCAATGAGCGAGAGTTTATTGGTATGCCCTTTGTCTCGCCACAACACAACCTGTCATATGATCTGTCTATACCTCACTCAATGGTGGCTCCTGCATCTCCTGCGTCTCCATGGGGCCCTTTTATACAAGTTTGTTGTTAGGATTCCCTCTCCTCTAGTCGAATCAATAAAAAATAGAAGTCCTAATAGAAGTTTACTGATCTGACTCTTCAATCGACGATCTATTGCTCCCTCTTAGTTGCGGATGTCTATTCTTTGATTTGAAAGCCCTAGCCAGTGATGAATTCCCAGGAAGATCAGAGTTTGAAATTCCTCCCCCTTTTAGTCTAGTTTGAACCCGTCCCAGTAATGAACACCTTTTTACTGTAAGGTGAGGCTCTACCATTCCCCTAGAATCCACTTCAGGTTGGAGGTGCTGCTAGTCCAACTTTTTAAGCAACCAAGATATTGAATAACGAACATTTGATTGAATTCCTTGCCTCACCCTAAGATGAGAGGGAAGTTCGATTTGACTCGAATCTTGGACCTGATCTTTTTTTCCTACACCGGTTAATGATGCGATGGGAGAAGTTTTTCTTTTTTCATTTTTTCATGAATGTTGGCCCCGTCAAGGCTCGTCCAGTCCCAATCCTAATGGACAACCCTTCAATTTGTCTCTAGCTCTATAATTCACTTGTCTTCCCCAATCCCTGAAAGCTTTCCACGGGCCTAGCCCTCTTTCTCAACTCAACTCGAGTCTTAAGTTCAGCGGCTTTCAATGAAAAAATGTATTGACTTTAACATGAGATTTGAGCTGCTTGTTAAGGTGAAAGGAGCATATAGAAATTTTACTTAGTTATGACTGAGTTTTGGGATCAACTGACACTTATTAAATCAGCTGAAGTGAGTACTAATAAATCATATCACATATACAGAGTAGAACAAAGTTTGGTGAATTTTCTTGATGGCACTCATAGATGATTTTGTGGGATTTCGTGGATCTATTCTTGATCCTTACCATTTCCTTCAAATGATACTATGGTAAATGAACTATTAGGTAAAGAGGAATGTCGTAAGACTCTTTCTGGAAAGGATCTTCTTCCATTGCTAATTAGATTGCATTAGCCGTTCCTTCTAAGGTGACCTTTGATCATAAAGCTAACAACGAGTTAAGAGTTGCTTTGGATGTGTAGCTTTTATCATGGGAAGGGCCATTGGAAGGCCCTAGATTTGTAAATAAGACTTCTTGGAGACAACAACATCAATTGGTTAAGCCTAAGGATCATCATATAACAATTGCTGCACCACCAGTGGATGATCTCGCTGACTCCTAGTTTGACTATGATTGCTCATTAGTTGCGTGGAAGTTTTTCTCATTTGAGCAGCCTAATGTCCTTTTAGTCTCTCCTTCAATAGGTTAATTCACTTCGGGTCATTCAGTTATACCTCAAACTGCTAAGGTCTTTGACTCATATATTAAATGACCACTGACTCTTGTTCATTTGCATCGACTTTTTCGCCTCCATCTATACTTGTACATGCAATCAATAGTACTCAAAATGTCTGACTTATATTGTGTCTATTATTTCTCCCTACCTCACATTTTGAGGTGTCTATTATATATCCCTCAACTTATTTTTGAATTTGATTTCAATCAATTAGTTACTTGATTCAGGATGCCGATTCACTGCCATCACATTGTCCATAATCTTCACTCCACATATATCACAACGTCTCTCTTGGAAAATAATACATACACTTATTTGATATCCTCATAGTTCTAAAATCGTAGACATATCTGCATATATATGTATATATAAAAGCTTAGAAGAGAGAAAAGGGCTTTGAAATAGATGGGTGATGAATAAGGAGCGAACGTGGCATAAATGGAGGTTGGAGGCAGAGTCATGGCAGCAAGGCGTTACAAGCTCACAGACACTCAATACAGTGGCCCTTCAAGCCAATGTACCCATGTGCCTTTTCAATATGTCGTGTACTACCATTTAGTTCTTAAATCTTGTTTGATTTTCAGTACCAATATTTTTAGAATCAAACCTAGTAGTAAATACACTGAAATTAAGCTTGCACTAAACTGAACAGTCCAATTTGGTGCTCAAACTGAGAAGCTCACAATAACTTGTCTATAGTGTTCAACATTTTGGATTGGGTGATGCATGTGCATCACGAGATACATGGTGGTGGCCATTGTTTTCCTTTCTTATCTCTTTGGAACCCTTAGAATTCAAGATTTTCACCTAGGTGATGGGGGGGATAATGATGTGCAAAGAGAAAGAGAGATAGAGACCTTAGTGTTTTGAGGACACTTTCATCTTTTGTTCATGACAATTTTGGTGGGAAACAAAAAACATTTCTTCATGCCAATTCTACAAACAGGTGTGCGTCTTGCATAACCAATGAAGTTGGGAGGGAATTGTAATGCTAGCACATTGACACAGAGTTATGTGAGGGGTTATGTGGTTATATTTTGACTATATAGGCTTGAAGTGCTAAAGGAGTATAAGATGAGGGGTAAAATGGATTTCGCCAAGCCCTTTGTTGCCTGTTTGTCCAATTACTTTATCCCTGGAGTGACACACGGACAACAGGGTTACTTCTATTACATACACACTTCAAACCATGGTTCAAAGTGGCAGCCAATATTGATACAACTCTGCCAGGTCGTATTCGGAATGATGCGTTCTGTTCTTAGATTGGTGCACATTCCATGTAAACCATGAGTTTTGCTTGATTTGTGGTTCACTCAAAGATGTCTCAGACAACCCATTAAACTTTTGTGCATCGCACGATTCGCACTGTGATATGGTCTGAATCTGCTCAGTGCTCAACTTCTATCTAGCAAGTTGATCTCCATCTGATTTTAAAACTTAAGCTTATAGAGAGAGGTATAACATAAGCGGGGAGAGATGTAATATAAGTATTTATATATTATAACATTTCCCGTATATTGTCCGATATCGTTCTGCGACACCGCAACCGATATGCTCAGTGCCCTTTGAGTTAGTGCAATCTAGAACCATGCTTCAATGATCGATACTGCGATTGTGTCCCCTATGATACCCTTAGTGCAAAAGCTTCCAAGTGACTGAAACTCTTCATGTAGTAGGATATCGAAACTCAAATAATTAGTATTGTGCTATGCTAAATGGGTTGTGCAGCTGTAGGATTTTGCTTTTTTTGAGTTTGACTCTGATATGAGAAAGGCCTCTAGGATATGGGTTTCTGAGTTTGTCACAATATCCCAATTGTGGTTAGGCCTTTATGCACCTAAGATAATATTGTAAGAAGATGTCTGCTCTTCAATGATTTTCTCCTTGTATGGATTGTCTTGATTTTGCGAAGAACGTCTCTACATTAACCAGAAGTCCTATTTAAAATGAGCTTCTTACCCTTATATATTGCTCCTAAAGATGTTTAGGCAAAACTACTTAAGAGCGAAAGCCAAGGGCGACCCTTGTTTTTCCTTTTCTTACCTGCATGAAGGGAACCCTTATTTTGCTTTAACTGATTCAAGAAGTATCTTTGGATAACTGGGGTTTAATCTCCAAACCCATTTCTTTTCCTTGCAGATACGACAAAAAGCGGTAAGAGCACTACACGAGCATCATCTTCCTTATCCAGGTGGAAATCTGTCTTAAATTCCCTTGCGAAACAGTTTTCTCAGGTTGGTATTTAGGTTTCTGTTGACAACCTTTTTTAAAATATAAAAGTTGAAAGACAATTTTTTCAAAGTAGAGATATGTCATTTAACCTTCAGTAGGGGGAAAACATCTTATACTAACTTGTGCCGGAGAATGGTCAAAGTTTAAATGTTAGCTTGTTTTGGAGCATGCATGTGGGATTTGTACGAACTCAACATAATAGATTGTGAGCCAGGGGAGATATACAAGATTTTTATCAAGAAGGCTTTTTGGTATTTGATGGAAGATTAGAATTTTGGAACTTTTATCTAGAATCAATTTTGTTTGGACTTAACTTGGATTTGATATCGATTCATATTTGTTTTAATGGGGAATTTGTTGGGACTTTACATATTGGTTATTTTAGTTTATTTTTATTTTCATTAAATAATGCAGTCACTATGTGGTGGATGATTTAGTTTTGGAATTATTGAGCTACGGAAAGAATTGGTCTTTCTTCTCTCATGTCTCTTGATTCTTTCCTCTGTTTTCACTCTCTCCCCTCTCGTCTATCTGATTAATCTTCCTCGTTCTTTTAATACATGTTCTTTTTCCTTTTGTTTTGTCGCTATATAGTTCGTTCTTCCTTCTACATCAATAAGATTACAGAAAACTTTAGATATGGCTCTCAGCGATATCTCACGAGCCAGACTTTAGATACTGTTGCAAAGTAAGGTGAAGGAAAAAAAGAATTAGTTATAAGACACTCAAATAGCCTCTTTTGATTAAATTAACTAAAAATCATTAGATTTGACTTACATTCCGAATTAATAGTAATTGTATGAGAATTGTTCTAGAGGGAATCAAATGACATTCTTAGTACTTTGTCATGATTGATCCAGTGACGGAGCTAGGCTACGGCCAAAGGGGCCATGGGCCCCCTGTGATTTTCCAAAAACACTCAAGTATATATATTCAGTACTTCAAGCAGCCGTGTATTGTCAAAGAGAATTGGCTCCCCTACCCTTCTTTGTATATCCGTACTGTCAAAAGAAATAACAACTCCGTTCAACTCTTACGATAAATTTTTTTCTCCAAAGTATTGGCCTGGTAACAGTACCGAAAAGTAATTTATGAGTACTGTACCTGCACTTTTTATCCAATAAAATTCTGACATGTATAAAGTTGGCTTATATTATGTGACACACTTCAATGCTTCTATTAAAATAGGGTCATTGCGAATAAAAACCTATTAAACTAAAGGTAATGTAATACTATTGTACCAAGTTTAGTATCGTACTGAAACTTACTACAAGATAAGAATAAGGATACTACTAATAAATTTACGATTCAATTTGAGTCAGTATTTTACCAAAATGCTCAATTACTATTAAAAAGGGTAGGATGTATCTCAGACGACCATCTGACCAATATATGAAAAACTCAATGATTCTTACTTAGTACATAAGATTCGGCCCCCAAGAGCAAAATTTTGGCTCCGTCTTGGATTGATGAATGTATTTCCCAATGACGTATGCATACCTTCTTGATTCAGTAAACCTTAGTCCAATGACTTCTCAATTAAGCCACACAAGTCTCCTTTTTGTCATTTTGTTCTATCCAGGTTTACATACCTGTGTAATAAATAGCGCAGTTTGGCTTCTCCTATTGTTTTAGCTAGTGTTAGGTTGTGCTTCCGCTCCCTATTGTCCTTATAACTAATTTTAATCATTGGCCATGTTGCTTTCATACTTAACATCATAGGCAGCATCCTCTTATTCTCACTTAGTGTTGGAGCTTATTTTCTTGCAAATCTGTCACGATCGGTCCTTTCCTCTTCTTATAGAGTCACTTTTTGGACTAGCATTTTTCCATTTCAACATCCTAGATGGAGCAATGGTTTGTGAAAATTTGGTTCCTTGTACAATATTCAAGTGACAGTGCTATTTTGTAGTAATATGATGCATTTGATTTTTCACCCCATGGCAAAATGGATAGACGAACTGTCCAAAAAACAAATTGAGAAACAGTAATGTAATTTTTAGGAACAAGTCATATGAACAAACCTTCCCAACCGAAGACAAACAGGGTAGGAAAAATCACTACTAGAAAGGGAGCCATCAGCATTTTACCGCTAATTGGTAATGAAAAAGCAGGAAATAAGTCATTATTTGCTACTTGGACGGCCATTTCAAGCAGGTTATAAAAGCAAAGGAAAGAGCAAGAGGAAGGATGGACCATTCTCAACTCTGAAGTAGAATACACAAAAACCAAGATTTGTGAATTGATTCACCTTTCCTAAAGAACAATGAACCAAGCATGAAATATCCTAGTATAGATGGAGCCATGAGTAATTTAAAAATGAACTAGCCTCAACACTAAAATTGTGTACCCAGTGAACAAGATTGACTCATTTGATATACAACTAGACCAAGTGGAACTATTTCAGTCCTATGTTGTCATCACGTTTTTCATATTAATCTGACATTATATGTGGACATGTATATATAAGTAGGCTAGGCTTACTTGGCACGACTAATCATGGCAAAGGCCAATGTTGCCTCCTAACAAATTGATCTTTTCATTGAAGGTGCCTCTCTCATTGGGGATAAGGATAGCATCCCTTCGAGGAACAATGAGGTTACACATAAGGCCGCCTCCTTCTGATCAGCTATGGTTTGGGTTCAAGTCCATGCCTTGTATTGATTTCAACTTGGAGTCCTTTGTTGGGGACCATAAGATTTCTAGTGGACATATTGCTCAGTTCCTGATCTCTCGGTTTAAGGTCTGATCATTTGCTTATATTACAAGTTTTTATTGGTTACCAGAGAATAATCCAGCTATATTGATTGCCAGCAATTGCAAATATTCTGGCCTGTTTGTTTGATTGCGTTGGTGCTTCAGCTGATGTTGGGTTATTCATGCAGGCGGCCATTCGCGAATCCATGGTACATCCAAACTATGAAAATATAAGCATTCCTTGGATGCTAGCTGAAAAGGATGACTGGGTGCCACGAAAAGATGCTCCATTCATATGGATTAAACAAGCAGCTGTTAGTGATCCCACAACTGCACATGAAGTTGCCAGCTCCCAACCCGGTGACAAAACCCATGTTATTCAACCTAGTAGGAGAGCAACCGGTAATAACGTAGAAGACAAGCATGATAAAGCAAAGGAAGTTGAACACGTCAGGCAACCAATCGGAGAATCCCCAGACACACATGCATCTTCATCGAGTCTCACAAATCAGGCAACTTTGAATGACAAGCCTTCACAACAACTAAGAGCCCCCTTGTTAGCTAATGATGACCCACACAAAACTCGCCAGGGGTGCGAAGAGGAGAACTCAGGGTGTCAAACACCAACACGGTCACTGATGTTGGTGGAAGAACAGAATCATTTTCTTGATGGAGATGATACAAGGACCAAGACGACGGGGACAAGAGCGAAGATGCTTAGTTTTGGAAAGAAGGTAGGGGCAAAATTTGATGAGAAGCGGCGTCACATTGAGGAAAGGAGCAGGCACATTGCTGAGAAGATGCGAGGACCCCAAAACTGACAAAGTAGTGCGTGCGGACTGATGGGAACATGTATCAAATTTGCAGCAAATGCAATGTCAGTCAAGTAAATGTGAAGTTAATCATTAGACATACATACATTCTGTATGTAGGGATTTGGATATGGTTCTTGCTTGTAAGACAGATATTGTTCTACAGATCCATCAATAGTTGTCGTTGTACCAATTCAATTCATACATGCAATATTCGCATGCACAGAAGAAAGGAAATATACGTGAGATTCGCATACATACACATTTATTTACATTGTAGTATACATGAAAAATGAACACACCAATGTGTATTCTTCAAAATATGCAATCTTTTACATATGGACTTGCTCTTCAAATGATCCTTAACATAATAATCTGCACATGACCCATGGGATTATTTGTTTTGCAGTTTTTGCATGCATGATCAGTGGGACTTTTTAACATAACTACATAAGCAATTGGTTGAATTGGTTAAGATTGAGTGAATCCTAGGTATCCGTCCACAAGACCCGCTGATTTGGTTTTCCCGAATAAAAAGATAGCTGGAGCACCCCTTCTTCCATACACTTGGGTAAGTTTGGGTTACAAATCTCAAGTAGTTTAAGTGGTAACATGAACGAGTTGTAAACTCAGACGTCCTAATTTTAAATTTTGGTGATTCCTTAGAGTCAGATTATTAGGGATTATACTCGTGAATACTTTATTTCTGGCGTGGATGGGTGACCAGACCGGAGGGAGATTAATCGAAGTACGCATAAGTTGATTTGAACATACTGGTGAAACAAAAAAAAAATAGTTTGGGTCACATTGTCCTCCCATTGGAAGTTTTTTCCTAAATCTATTTCGTGGGTCACATTGTCCTCCCATTGGAAGTGTTTTTCCCAAAAAAATAGCTTGCAGTTCTGATAGGCGCAAGTAAACCTTAAGATAACATTGTGGTTGCGCTAAATGACAGTTTACGTCCCTGTAGTTTCAAAAACTTGTATTTCAACCCGTACAGTTTAAAAAACCTACCCCCGATGGCTTTGGACTACAGTTTTATCATTAGTTTTCAATACCACCATTTGAATGTCAAAACTCAAAAGTCAAAAATATCACTTCAAATTGACTTTTATACCTTATGTGTTGTGCCGCCTCTTCTTTTCCTTTTTGTTTTTTTACTTTCGAAAGTAAACCAATCTCTCTCTCTCTCTCTCTCTCTCTCTCTATATATATATATATATATATATATATATATATATATATGCATTAAGTAGATTTTTCAATTGTTGGGCTTTACTGGTATAAACGACGAGAAAAAAAGAAACAAATGGAAACAAAAACTAACGGGTTTATGCTCTTCCTAGTGAGAAAAAAAATACTCAATTTGACAAAGTTTTTTTTTTGAACAGTATAAAATTTGACAAAAATTAGGTGTAGTATATGTTTAACACTAAATTGTGAGCTTGCACTTTAAACTTGAACTTGGAGGGTGTTTAGTTTTTGAAAAATAGGGTGGTAAAGTGTTACTAGTTTGATTTTTCATTCATTTCTACAAAACACAGGGAAAACTTGCGGAATTTTCTCTCCTAGTAAAAAGGATGATGGAGTTTTTATCCTTATCCCTTTTACTGCACACACTAAATAATTTTATTCTAGATCACTTCTTTTTTTTTTTTGGTCAAGATTCTAGATCAATCCTAGATACCCTCAATTTTGTATATGAATTATAAAGAAACTTGTAAAAGGTTTAAATGAACGAAAATGAATATGTTACTTGGTATGTTATTTTTGGAGCGAATACAAATAACAATTTGCTTCTTTTTTAATTATGAAACCTTTAATGCACGGGCATTGCATAATTAGCCTTCCTTTGTGTAATTTGACACTAGAAGCGTGAGTAAATTCAACCAGAATATAAAACACATAAATCATAACTTTGTTAATTATCGTAGGTAATGCGAGAAAGAAGGGTTTCAAAATTTTTGTTGATTCTTATAATACCAAATCAATTGGGAAGTGTAAAAACAAATCTTTGAAATACTTGTAATATCAAAAAAAGGTGTCAAAAAGTTGTACAACCCAATATAAATAATAAGCTTAGTGTCCAAATTTTTTTAATAATCCATGTGTAGCATGTGAAATTACAAAAATATACCAAATAGCGCAATAAAACAGATAGTGGAAGTGCGCCAAGGTCTCCATATAAAAAAAAAATCCATAATTCGGATCTCTACTACCTATCAATCATATATGATGATGTTAGAAACTCGAAGGCACGAGCCCAATGCCTAAGCTGAGGAGCTTACGGCTTTTGAATAGTGATTGTGGTGATGACAGTATGAGCAAACTAAGAGAGATAGAGCCTCCATCTGGTAGCTCTATGAAATGTTACAAGAGACGTAAGAGAGAGGTAAGAGCTAGGACGATTCTCAATTATGTAGAGCTCAGCAAGAGATTTTCGGGGGACTTGCACATTTATTTTGACACTATAACTAAAATTTGTCCCGATCAATAATACCTCGATTAACTTGACTATTAACAATTCTAGTCTATCGTGTATTTTTTAGTTATCCATCACATCAAGCTCTGGTATGAAAAATTTTCCATGGAAGAGTGAAAGTGTCATCTTCTTAGTGGCCTTTCCTTAGTGATTGCTGACACAAGTCTTGAGTAAAATTGAAGGATCCCCATGTCTTTCGGCCATGTTTTCTGGCAGAGAGTGTTGTTATATAAAGCTAAATGCACCACACCAGTCAATATTGAAAGCAACAAAACATTGAAATCACTTGAGATTTTGTTGTCTAATCAAACACTTGAGGCTAAAGTAATGGACTTCAGTGCATTTGTTCTTCATCCTACTGATAGAAAATTCCACATTTACAATAAAGTAAAAGATCAGTGTTCAACTCAACATCTAGTGTGTTCGTGAAATTTTTGTATAATATTATGAATTGTTTATGTTGATAAGTGTAATTATTTTCATTTCTTTTTTGAATTACAAAAAAAAAATTACTTTTTTTTTAATTATTAACATAACATAGCCTCCACTAGTGTTCTATTCATGGGGTTTATTCAAAACCAACAGTTACGATAATCTAGATTTTCGAGATTAAGGCAGAAAAAAAGAAAAAAATATGCTTAAAGTAAGTGTAGCAAAAATGACAATGTTGAGATGATCACATGGTAAAACTGGAAAGAATAAAATTAGAAATAAATATATTAATAAAATTGTACAAGTTGTACGAATAATAATCAACAAATTGACAGAGAACTGACATTGACGATGAAAAATATTTATGAAGAACTAACTATTTTCACCACTATTGAAGAGTGTTGAACTACTTGTCAATGTTAATGCAAGAGATGCAGATAGACTGAGATTAATTTGAAATAAGATAGCAAAATAATATAATAGTTTGTGGTTTAACAAAAAATATGATTATAGATAGACACAACAAACTAACAGAAATTATAAATTGGGCCCTAAATAGTGGAAATTAGACTTTTTTTTTAGATGAATGAGTTGAAACTAATTAATCTTTCTTGGAACAATTATAGAAAGCCATTCATGGTTTTTTTTTTTTGTTGCCAAGTAAGCCATTAATGATTTAGTAGACAATCCACAACAAGGCTAGTGCAAATCTCCACTCAAGAGAATGTATCCATTCCAACAAAATATTTGCATCCTTGGTTTCTACTTATATTCGGAGTAACAATGTTATAAAGATCTAATTCAATACACTTGTAAGATTAGTGGTGAGTTTTAATATTAGGTGGAGCCCACTTCCATTCAACGATTAGATTGAATTAAGTTTTCAAATTAGGTCAAAATAGTATTTTCCTATTGAAAAGCTCAAAAATAAGTAGCACTCAAAGAAGCATTTCCATTATACTTAATTTTTTTTACTATCTCATTAGTTTTAGTATGAACTTTATTACTATTTTCATACATAAAATTAGGGCATGAAAGTGACCGAAACCATGGCATTGACATTTGGATAAAAAAGTAATGATGGCGTAAATAAAATAAAATAAAATAAACCAAAGTGCTACTTTTGGGATGTGCTTATGGAGCATGGAAAAAGAACACTATAATTAAGTAATATACATTCTAATATTTGATTTGTAATAACCAACTTAGGAATATATTTCTAAATCTACTAAGACTTAAAGATTTAACCTCCATCACTCCAACACACCATTTTCAACCACCCCAACAACACACCACCCATTGCCAACATCACCCCAACCACCACCACCACCACCACAACCTTAGCTACCAATTGCTACCACCCCATCACCACTATTATTATCATTGTCACCGTCATCGTCACTGCTAACTTAACTATCATCAACAACTCCGCCAACCTATCATTGTCGATATCACTAACCACCACCATCGTCCCTTATAATCATTGTTGTCACCACCTTTACCTCCACCTTGACCCATCATGACCACCTCCTACCAGGCTGCCACCACCACCTACTACCACAGTCACCCTTGACCACCGCCTTAAACCACCAAAAGTAACTGGTGAATATATCATGCTTTTTTTGATCGCAATAGCATGAGTGTGAGCCTGAGAGAATGTCGAAGCCTAAGGTCTTTCTTTGGTGGGAGTATGAGTGGGCCTCGTTCTCCCTTTTATGCAAACTTAAAAGGGTGGCCAACTCCCTTACACTTTCATGGTTGTGGACCCAATTCTTTTCTTTTGTCATGACTTGAGGGCCCGTTGTAAAATTTATAATAGACAAATATGACTGTCTTTAATAAATTTATCCGACAATTTTAAATAGACAAATATGACAGTCTTTAATAAGTTTATCCGACAATTTCAAATAGACTTATTCAACGGTCATCAATATCACTCTCAAAATCACTCACGTTGCACCATACCTTCAAATACGGATTATCCTTAGTTACTTAAAAAAGTATACAAAATATAAATGAAGTAATTTTTGTTTTTTTCGGGGTGGGCCAGACCCCCCTGTTCCCTTACTGCATACACCCCGGTTTTTCGGATTTG